TTCCCTCTCAAGAGACTACTTCACCTTCAAATTTATTATCAGAAAAACCTGCAACTCTAGACCAACAAATACCATCACCACGACCAATAAGAACAACAAAAACGCCTAGCTATTTGTGTGAGTATCATGTGGTATTTCTCTTCCCTCAAGACTCCCCCCAACATCGAACACGGTGTTAGCCAAAACCACAAATACCTTCTATCCATTAATCGATGTCATGACATATGCTAGATTGTCACCTAAACATCGTGCTTTTACCACTGCCCTTTCAATTGAAAAGGAGCCAAGCACCTGAAAAGTCAATTGAAAAGGAGCCAAGCCCTTGTGTAGAAGCCGCTCGTAATCCAAAGTGGCAGGTTGCTATGCGAGAAGAGCTTGATGCACTCAAAGTCAATGACACATTGTCCCTTGTACCATTACCGCCTGGAAAGAGGCCAGTTGGATACAAATGAGTATACAAAATCAAACTTCATGCAGATGGGACAGTTGAATGCTGTAAGGCCAGATTAGTGGCAAAAGGGTATAATCAAATTGAAGGGCTAGATTACCAAGAAACCTTTGCCCCTGTAGCAAAGCTTGTAACTGTTCGCCTACTTCTTGCGTTAGCTTCAACCAAGTAATGATATCTTCACCAACTAGATGTTAACAATGCTTTCTTGTATAGGGACCTCGACGAAGACGTATATATGTCACTACCTCCTGACCTCGGACGAAAGAGGGAGACTCGAGTTTGTAAACTCCACAAATCATTATATGGTCTCAAACAAGTTTCACGTCAATGATTCATCAAGCTTTCCACCGCTCTAAAGCAAGCCAATTTTATGCAATCAAAGACAAACTATTCTTTGTTCGTCCGATCCCAAAATGGTAAATTCATCACCCCTCTTATATATGTAGATGATGTCATCATTGCAGGGAACAAATTACAAGAAATCGAACATGTCAAAATATTCTTGAAGTACCAGTTCAAATTAAAAGACCTAGGACAATTGAAATATTTCTTTGGTATTGAGATTGCGCGTTCCCAGAAGGGTGTGCTTTCACAGCGAAAGTATGCTCTTGAAATACTCGAAGATGTTTGGTACCTCGGTGCAAAACCAGCCACTTTCCCTATGAAACAAAACTTATCTCCTAGCAAATCAGAGGGAGAATATGTCAGTGATCCATCATCATACCGAAGGCTAGTTGAGAGATTAATGTACTTGACTGTCACACGTCCTGACTTGACATATGCAGTTCATGTCTTAAGTCAATTTATGGAAAAACCACGAGTGCCACACTTAGAAGCAGCCCATCGCATTCTACATTACATAAAACAAACAACAAGACAATGCTTAGCCCTCTCAGCAGAAAGCTCAACCCAACTAAATGTCTTTTGTGATGCATATTGGGCTACGTGTTGTGACACTCAAAGATCAGTTACTGGGTATTGTATCTTCTTTGGGAGTTCATTAATTTCTTGGAAAACTGAATATCGGTTCATGATCACTACCTGCTGCGAGATTATTTGGCTAAGAACAATTCTGCAAGATTTGGAGATCATGTATTCATATCCTGCCAATTTATTTTGTGATAACCAAGCAGCACTTTACATCACCTCGAACCCGGTATACTATGAGCGAACAAAGTACATCGAGATTGATTGGCATCTCATAGGGAGAAAGTTCAAAAAGAAATAATAAAGTTGACTCATGTGTCACTTTAAAACAGCTAGCGGACGTTTTCACAAAACCACTAAACTATTCTCAGCTCTCGATACTACTCAGCAAATTAGGAATTATTAACATACATTCCAAACTTGAGGGGAGAGTGTTAGGAGTCATGATAGGAAATAATTTATTTGGAATTAGAGTTATGATAGAAAATAATTTATTCCTGTAAATAAATTATTTCCTTAGAATTAATGAGATATTTGTTTTACTATTTTACGTTATTTTCTATATCTCCTAATAATTTATATGAATTAATTATTGGAGATATCAGGTGTTATACTCTTCCTTTCATATCATTTCCTTTTATTATTTTTCCTATTACAAGATTCTTGTAAGGGTTATTTATAACTTCTTTCATTTCAATGAAATATTGAGTATTCCACTACATTATTATGAGTTTTAACAGATATATATTCAAAAGAATAGCTGCAGGCTCTTATACAAGCCCCAGTCACCCTCATGTGCCTAACTCTCCGAGGACCGCCCTCACTACCGTCAAAACATCCAGATGGGGATTCGAACACGTGACCTCTGCTCTACCAATATGCTACGACTGGCGGCATAAACACACGCACGCGCGCGCGCACACACACACACATAGATATATGTTAAAGTTCAACTTTTATATATGTCATCTTATCTATGCATAAAAAAGATTTATTTTGCATTTTAAACATTACGATAATGATATTTATGTATACGAGATAAGAGAATTGTGTGGTATAAATGCAAAAAAAAATTTTTTAAGGGTTAGATATGTAAATAAATAGGGCTTGGGTGATAATGCATCATCTTAAAATAAATCAATTGTTATATTTCTTGATTATAGTTTTTCTTTTTTATCAGGTTATGAGTAGAACTTAGTTTTTCCAATGACCGCACAAATATAAATTCAAATTTTTTATATTTAATAACAAATTTCTTTCTTAGTTAAAAATATGGGCATTTACATGCACATCTCACAATTCTTATGCATTTACATATCCCACACTTAAACTTTCATGTATATGTGTGAGATGTAAATACATAAAGATTATGTGCTACAAATGTAAATTTCCCTAAAAATAATTGCGAAACTATTTATCATCCATGTAAATAAAAGTGCCCCCATTTACCTTTTTCTTCAACATTATAATGATTGAATGAATGAAATAAAAATTCCTATTTAAATGTGTTAAGAACCAAAAATTTCGTTTAAATGGAATAAAATTGAAAATGTAATTCTTTTTATTTAATAAATAAATAAGTATAACGCAGTGCAGGATAAAAGTTTCGTGGATGGCGTACTCACAGATGAGAAAAAATATTACATCAGTATTACGCACGTAGAGTAACGTGCGTAGCCAATGAAATCACCCCACCACCCCACACGCAAAAAAAAAAAAAACGGCGTAGTAACACGGGGAATATTCCCCCCTACACCAGTGTTATTCATGTGTTATTGTGTGTTATTCATGTGTTACTAATGTGTTATAGTGTTATTATAACGCCAAGAATATTCTCATGACACAATAACTCACAATAACACAATAATAACACGAGGGAATATTCCTGACAAATGTGTTATTGTGTGTTATTCATGTGTTATTGATATGTTATTGTGTTACTATGACATCAGGAATATTCTCAGGACACAATAACACATGAATAACACGCAATAACACATGAATAACACGGGGGGAATATTCCCCGTGTTACGACGCCGGGGTGTCGTGGCGTGATTTCATTGGCTACATACTTTACTCTATGTGTGTAGTACTGATGTAATATTTTTTCCACAGATGAACCTCAATAGAGCATGCAAATAAAAAAAAAGAAAGGTTTACATACGTACCATTCAATTCACATATATTAACAATGAAACATTAACTTGTACATATATGCCACCTTATCTATTCATGAAAAAAATGTATTTCATTTTATAAAGTTAAAATATTATTATTATTTTCTACGTAATATGATCGGGTGGTAGGAATGTTAAAAGTAAATTTTAGGTGCTAGATGTGTAAATAAATAGGAATTGAGTGGTATTTCATCATAATATGTATTTCATCATTTTTTTTGGCAACTCTAGATTTAATCCTTATAGCAAATATTATTACAACTTACATGAGAATTTAATTCATTAGCAGTAAGGGTAGATCATTTTTAGAAAGACAACCTAACTAATACCAAGCTTACCCTCAATTATCATACATTATGAAGTGAAAATTCAAAAAAAGAAGAAGAAAGAAAATCAAGAACAATGGAAAATTTACGAGGTTCAGTAATTTGTGCCTACGTCCTAGGGAGCAGAGCGGTGATTTCATTATTCCTGAAAAAAATATAGTTCCCATAGGGTTACAAATATTATATATAAATACAACACTTAATGAAATTACAAAAATAACCTTGTACCGTACTGCTGGAGCGTTGATCCCACACCCGCAACCCACTTAACGAAACTCCTCCGATTGGACAGATGTTTCCGCTCGCGAGCTCAGCTGGCTCGCTCCGTTCCACACCAGCATCTATCCCTTATCTTGGCATATGAGCCATATCTAACACATTCCGATATTTGTTCTAAGACAATCCAGCCATCAGATTTTTAGATCCCTCAACTTCAATTTGTTATGCCCTGAAAACTTATAAATATACACTAACTATACTTTTTTCATGTTTTGAACTCTAACTGTCACATTGAATTTTAAAGATTTGTCAATGTTTAGAAACACAAGATGATCATCCTAATTTTCATTGATTTACAAATAACAACCATGACCTCAAAATTAGTTCTAATCAGCTAATTTTAGACGTTCTTTATCAATGACCATCAACCTACACACAAAATCAACAACCGATTTTGTAGTTGATCGGCCTCCTACTCGTATCAATGACCATCAACCTACACACAAAATCAACAATCGATTTTGTAGTTGATCGGCCTCCAAACTCTAACTGATGTCTTTCATCAATATTGCTGACTAATATTTACAAATGTCCCGCTCTCAATACCCATTATCTTTTCACCAATACCATCAACATACACCGAGCATTCCTCGTTAACATCATCAACATCATTCAACAACCTCAATAGCCACCTTTGGAGATAGTCTTTGGCTGCACAAATTCTTAAATTATACTTTGTTCTCTATTTATGGGCGAGAACGAACATTTATAATTTCAAATTTGAATTTTTTGACTTGAATTAAACCAAATCAATTTTTTTCGTTTCACAAATTTCACATAAAACCTTTATATCCCCCTTTTCATTTGCGTGCAAAATCCTCACACAAATTAAAGCATCAAAATTTGTAATGCCATCAATTTCATAGCGCATAATCATATGTTCTCAATCTTGATTGAAGAATTTAAAAATATGGGAGATGGTAAATGGAGGCTAAATGGGTGGGATGGTTAGAGAGAAATTGGGGGTTTGAAATCTTCTCAGTTGCCACGGGGACAAGAGATTACAGCGTGCGTATCGTTGTAGCCGTTAGGGTTCAAGGGATGGTCGCTCCCTCAAGAGCTCCTCTCCAAATTTCTTCTTCTTCTCGGAGAGAGCTGTAATTTGGAGTGAGATAGGGAGAGCCCTCTCCCAACGGCTCCTCCCCATCTTCTTCTATTCTGTAACAATTTCTCCTCCCCTGTGTTGTCTCCTTTTTCTCTTCGGTTTGCCTGTTATTAGTGATGAGAAGTTTTCTTGTTTTTTTTCTTTTCTTAATTCTTCTGTTGATTTTCTTCTTCTCTTCTTCAACCTGCAATCTATCACCTCCGTCTCTCTTTAGAGAACAAACAACAAGCTGACGCCTTTGAATTTTTAATGGTGTTCACACGAAGCAGATTGGAAGGTGAAGCCGATCGATAGTAATGGAGGATGAACAGAACAATGTTGACTCTGGGTTGGAGATTTCAGATGCCCCTGCAATCAAATACTATGGCTGGAGAGCAATGCCGTATGTCATAGGTAAGTCAACAATCGAGCTTAGAAAAATAAAATAGGCAAGATTCATTTTTTTCTAAATTAAATGTCGCGTCCCCTTTTATAAATGCCTGACAATTGATGGCGGCAGAGCCAACTTCTTTTTTGAAGTGCTCCATTATGATTCGCAAAGGAAATGAAGTAGCTCCAAAAGAACTTTCTTGATTAATTGATTCAGTTGATTCAATATAGCCACGAAATGATAATTCCTGTCATATCACTTAATTCATATGCATGTATATATCTAACACATTTATGTCACTAAAATCTTCCATATCACACGAAAAATATCACTATTTTAATTTAAAAAAAAGTAAAATACACCATTCTATGCGTATATAAGGTGGTATGTATGTAGAAATTTAAATGTTAGACATACAAATGCATCAGAATTAAGTGGTACGCAAGTAAATTCTTTTTTTTTTTTAATGACGAGCTCCCAATTTTTTTCATGCATTATAAATACAAGCATAACAAAAAAATTTTAAGTGTAAATTTACTAAGAGATGTCCTGATGAATGTTCATTCATTTTCTCAATACAAGATGTTAAATTTATTAATCCCATCAAATGAGAGCTCGTTTGATGATTCATTTGATGGTGTAAGTAATTCACAATTAATCACGTATTCGACGAGAGTAAGGCATCAGCCGTCTCCTCTATCAACCATGTCACCACAATGCCAGTGATTTTCATGACCATGATCTCCTTTTCCTCCTTGAAGCGTATCCATCTTTCATCACACCTTTCCATTTTCCTAACCGCCGTCTTGCCTTTGTGCTGCTCTGCAAACATTTTGCTGTCGGTTTGTGAAAGAGCCCAAGAGGCAAGGGCAACAAAAGAAGTCAAAGTAACTGACAATTGTTGAAAAAATCTAAAATTATGCAAATACGAGAATTGTTGATCTGCACATTTCCTCTTTGATTCGTATGAAAGTGAAAATATTGGAAATTAACAGGAAATGAAACATTTGAGAAGCTTGGGGGCATTGCGACGGCCTCAAACCTGCTAGTGTATCTCACTACTGTGTTCCACATCAAGAGCATCGATGCTGCTACGATCTTGAATGTCTTCAATGGAACCACAAGCCTGGCTACTGTGGTCGGCGCCTTCATCTCCGACGCCTTCTTAGGGCGCTACAAAACCTTGGGTTTTGCTTCTGTAATTACACTTCTGGTAACAAATCAACGCTTCAAGCTTGAGTTTTGATACTTGGGAACTGTTTGCTATTATTCACATAGTTTTGGTTTGTGTAAAAAATGAATGTGTTTGTGAAAAGATTTTATCTGTTCGGAGTTATTGCGTGTTAGACTATTGCTGCCATGATTTGGTAATTTGGAATTATTTATATTGATGCTAATTTTATTTAGATAAAAGTAATATGTCTATAGTGATCGTATAGATAGTATAAAACGGCTTTGCTCAAAATTGTTTCATACTTTTTTATGCTTTGTGTGAGAATTTTGGGTGCATGCTTGTGAGTTGGATTATCTAATGTTATATTATGGTGGTGATTGTTGTGTGTAAGAAAGTCATGGCAGTAGAGTGAGGGAGGGGGTGAGTGTTATAGTTTTGTATGAAAATTTATCACAAATAAATAAAATAAGAGTTCCATAGGAGATGCTAGATTGTTTTTATATGAACTTGTGAAGGAGCAAAGTCATGGAGTCAAGAGATAAATGATATAATTTTTTATAATTAGAGAAATCTTTGATAAACTTTAAAGGATATGCAATATGTAGAATAAATCTTATGATGGAAGTTGAGGATTATTGAGGCATTAAAGTTGTCTTTAAGAGATTATTTACAGTATGTTTGGCAAATTTCTTTCGATGAGGGGAGTCAAGAGATCTAAGAATTCAATATAATCTTGGTATAAATGACATGTTGTGACGATTGTGCATGTCAATGTTGGTGGCAAACATGCATTACCTTATAAGCAATGGCACACTTCAACAGTGTGCAATAGTTTTATAGATGTTGGCAGGAGATGAAATTGGCTGATGTTCGCATTGGTGTCAATGATATGGACTAGCCTTATATAAGATACATTTATAACATGCACTGATCTTATAGGTTATGGCACGCATCAACAATATGCAGTGATCTTAAGCAATGACAGGTAATAAAGTTGGAGAATTTTAGTGTTGGTGATATGCGTTAAACTTATAAATGATATCATATGCAATTATAATTTACGTAGGCAATGTACATTGATCTTATAGATGTTTATGAGAAATAAAATCTGTGGATGTTGGTGACTAGAAGACCATAGTCGAGCAACAGTGATCTAAATAGCATAGACAATCAACAAGAGCCAAGTGACACTATTTGGCCAATGATGGTCGGCTGACAATAATCGAGTGATTGCAAATGAGCAATGGAGGTTGTGCGACTATGGACAAGTGATTGCGATCAGGAGAACACTGTCAAGGATTAGATGATTGTAGAAAGGCACCGATGGTTAGGTAATCATAGGTAGGCAGCGGTACTCAGGCAATCGTATAGGGATGACAAAGTTATAAAGACTATAGATAGGTGCTCATAGTTGCACAATGATGATCGAGTGACTTTAGTCAAATGATGGTGGTTAAACAATCATAGATGGGTGATGTAGGCCAGTCTATAGTATCAGAGCATCAATAGTTATTGTATTGTGGTGATAAAATAATAGTGGTGGTCCAAAAAAATGTTTTGAACCTGGTTGTTAAGTGATAGAGATTTAATAATAGTAAACGAATGACAATGGTCTTATAGTGATGAACGGGTGGTGGTAATTTAACTGTGAGGACAAGCAGTGACGATACAATAGCGGTGGATGGGTAATAGAGGTAGAGGGTTGGTGATGGTCTAACGGTGGACGGAAGGTGGCAGATGGGTGAAAACAACTTTGGACAGGCAGTTGTGACTCAAATATAGTAGACGGGAAACGTAGATTAAGCAGCCAAAGTTCAATAATGGTGATCAGACTACCATAGGTGAGTGATGAAGATCGGGCGAAATTCGATGATCGTAAATGGGTAATGGAAGTCAGGAAACTATGGATATACATCAATGATTGCATAATCATAGTGGGGCAACGATAACTAAGCAATTGTAAATGGGCAATGAAATCAAGCAACTGTAAATAGGTGATCATAATTAGATGGTCGGGCAACTGTAGTTGGGAAATAGTGGTTCAGCGTCTGTATAGTGATGATTAGATAGTAACTATTTATCGTTGGTGGTTGGGCGGCTGATATCCTATAGAGTTTAAGGATCCGCCATTCTTTGAGCTCTTCGCAACCTTATGTCGAGCCTATCTCATGTAAAGATGGTGTTCTATTTATAAATTTTAAAAGCAGTATCCTCCATAATATCACCAAAATCTTGAACACTGAATTGAATAGCTTGTAATGATTTCCTAGATTATAACGAGTTTATTAGGTGTTTGAACTCCTTAATGATATTGAAATCAATTGCTCTTGAGCTCATTGGTTTCGTCTTATTGAGATACTCAATTTGATTATACACATATTATATTTGAGGAGGTCGTTCACCTTCAATGTCATTGAGCTTCTCGCAAAGTCATTTAATTCCATCAGAAATTTGTTGAAATGTGATATTAGATTTGACTTTTAAAATTATATATTAAAATCCTTGTTTTATCAAGTGAGTTTTTTTGGTAACACAACAGTATAGTTTCTATCCTTAAAAACAGCTTTTTACACACACCAAAACCATTCTCATTGTTTAGAAAACAAGTTGTCTTAACAGTTTTGAACCCAAAAATTCCACTGATTTATTGCCCTCATCATCTTTTTCCCCCAAAGGGCATGTTCGTCATCATGCTCACTTCTGCAATCCCAGCTCTGCATCCACCTTCCTGTCTTCAAGGGACAACCTGTTCAGGCCCTACACCAATGCAGCTTTCTGTGCTTGCTCTGAGCTTTCTGTTACTAGTGATCGGAGCAGGTGGCATAAGGCCCTGCAACCTTGCCTTCGGTGCAGACCAGTTTAATCCCCACACTGAATCTGGAAAGAAAGGAATCAGCAGCTTCTTCAACTGGTACTATTTTACCTTCACCATTGCAGTCATGATCTCCTCCACCTTCATTATCTATATTCAGAGCAATGTGAGCTGGACACTAGGCTTGGCTATCCCTGCCATCATGATGCTCATCTCCTGCATCTTCTTCTTCCTCGGCACAAACATTTATGTCAAAGTGAAGCCTGAAGGAAGCCCTTTTACTAACTTTGCCCAGGTTCTAGTTGCAGCAATCAGGAAGCGGTGCTACCAGCTCTCCAACGATCCAAAACAGTCCCTCTTCAATCCTCCTCATTTCAGCTCCCTCATCTCCAAGCTTTCTCACACTAATCAGTTCAGGTAAGTTTTCATTCATTTCTTAATCATTTTCTGCTCAAATCTATAAACTGATAACCTCATTCTTTCAATTTCAAACTTCTAAACGATTCTTCATTAAAAGGTATCTTGACAAGGCTGCAATCATAACAACGACAGACGAAATCAAACCCGACGCATCCTCAGCGAATCAATGGAGATTATGCAGCATCCAGCAGATCGAAGAGGTGAAATGTCTCCTAAGAATCGTTCCAATTTGGTCTACAGGCATCCTGTACTACATCGGCATGGCGCAACAATCAACCTACGTCGTTCTTCAGGCGATGCAATCAGACCGGCATCTCGGAAGCAAGAATTTCGAGATTCCGGCCGGCTCCTTTTCCATCTTCTCCCTCCTCGCGCTCACCATATGGCTACCGATCTACGAAAGCATGGTCATTCCATGGCTGAGAAAAATCAGAAAACGAGAGGATGGAATCACATTGCTGCAGAGAATGGGAGTTGGGTTAGTGATTTCCGTACTCGCCATGATTGTTTCAGGATTAGTTGAAGAGAGGAGGAGAAGCGCAGCCCTTCATCGCCCGACGATCGGAATCTCACCAACAGGTGGATCCATTTCTTCATTCTCCAGTCTCTGGCTGGTGCCTCAGCTCCTGCTTTCAGGTCTGGCGGAAGCATTCAACACCATAGGGCAGATGCAGTTCTACTACAGCGAGTTCCCTGAACACATGAGGAGCGTCGCAGGCTGCTTGTTCTTCTGCAACGTCGCGCTTTCGAATTACTTCAGCGGATTGCTGGTGACGATGATACATCGAGCGGGAGGGGAGGATGGGAGTTGGCTGGCCGGAGATCTGAACAAGGGGAGATTGGAGAATTTCTATTATCTGATCGCTGGGATTGGGATTTTGAACTATGTATACTTCCTTGTTTGCTCCAGGTGGTACAAGTATAAAAGATCAGAGCTTTCTGAGAAAGGAAGCAGCTTTGAGCAGCCAGTTTAAAGATTAAATATTGGATAGTATGATGATAATGTGAAGAATGTAATCAAAGATTTTCTATCTGCACCAATATATCAGCAGGTAATACTTAATTTTGATTGGAGCAGAGAGGGAAAATATTTATATATGATTTGTCTTTATTTAAAATTTGTAATTGCATTCGGCAATGCCAATATATCAGCAGGTACCGTAAGCTTTTTCTGAAGTAATAAAAATCATATATAGATACACCTTATTCTCTCTGTACTTCTCCATCAAATCTCTCAATAAATGTATAACTTCCATAACATACCCGCCCGACATAAATCCGAACTGATTATGATAAATATTTGTAAGACGTCCTAACCTATGTTAAATTACCCTCTCCCATAATTTTAAATTATGACATATTAACTTAATTCCTCTATATAATTCCTCTATAGCTTAATTCCTCTATAGTTTGCACACTCTTGTGCATCCATTTTATTCTTAAAAATGGGGACCAAATACTCTTCATCTATTCCTCAGACAATATTTTAGTTTTTAAAATAATAATAAAGAGTTTAATAAGTCAAAAAACTCTCAAATCTCGTAAATATTTCTACAGTTCAATTGGGATTTTATCGGATACTATTGATTTTCCACCTTTGGTTTCCTTTAAAGCCCGATCAAGTTCTATTTTACTAATGTGATGGTAAAAATAAAATATTTTATTATTATTAACATTATTAAGATCACTAAGATTGATCTCATTTTCAAAAACTTAATTGAAAAGTTTATCAGAATAACTCACCCACCTATTTTGAATGTTTTCATTTAAGAAAAGAAATTTTTAATTTTTATCTATAATACACTTTACTAGAATTAACTCTTTATTTTTATTTTCTTTTTGTTTGAATAGTTTATACATATAATATTCACTATTTTTAGTATTTAATCTTTCATAAAGATTACTAAAAGCATGGTTTTAAGCGTCACAATTGTTCTCTTAGACTCCCTAAAGATCACTTTATATTTTTCACAATTTTCTAAACTTTTAAATTTAACTAATAACTTGTATTTTATATTTTATTGCACACTATTATTTAACCACAAACTATTTTTATTTATGAAACTTTTAATTTTGATTCTACAAATATCTCACATGTTTAATAGTGTTTATTACTTTATCCCACAAACAATTTATTTCTTCACGAGCATCCCAGAAGTTTACTTATAAAGATAATTTTATTTGTCTTTTAGATGACCTCACGTAATTCTATAATAATGATTCATAATATTCTTTATCTTGCAACTCTATCAATCTTTCTAAAAAATGAGGGCACAACAGGTGGTCCTATGAATTTAACTCATAGATCATTAAATTTTGGCTCGAATCAAGATCAGATAAAAAAACACGAGCCGAGCTATGAGCCACAACCTTGGATCGAATTTTTTCCAAGTCGAGTTCGAGTCATACATGAATCAACTCGAATTGACACGAGATTAGCTCATAGTATTTTTATTTGTAAAAAACGTATATATAATGTTAAGTAGAATTGAATATAACAAATCAAAAGTCAATTTCGAGTCAATTTTGAGATGGAACAGATCCAGAAACTAAATTTGAGCGAGTTAGTTTCAATTTTGAGCCAGATTGAGCTATTTCCGAGTTGAAACTAATACAAATAATTCAATTTGAGACAACTCATTTTGATTTACAGTTAAGCCGGCTCAAAATTGAATATAACGAGCCACGAGCCAATTTCAAGCCAAACTATACCCATGCGAGTCGATTTTGAGCCTACGTTAGCCCGGCTCAAAATGATATTGTTAACATTCCTAACAACAAATACATAGCTATGTACTCATATTATCCACAACAAAACCTAATAATTTCTCCCAAAACCAAGCCTTTCCATAGTAAACCCACAACAATAATAAAAAAACCTAATAATTTCTCCCAAAACCAAGCCTTTCCTCATTAATGAAAGATGGCCACAACAATAATAAAATTACACAAACAATAATAAATACCCTCAGCAGACAAAAGATTATTCATAACAAGCTCTTACCTCCATAGTAAACCCACACACAATTGCATCCACTCAAAATATAATCCTTAAGACACTCTGCAAGTCTGAAAACCTAACCATGTTTAGCCACAAATGTGAATCCACTCCCACAGTAAACTCTGAGAAGAAGATTGGAATCTGATCCCTTCCATCCTATTTCAACTCTTTGAGGAGAGATTTGATCATCTGTGCTTCCTACGCCCAGCTGACCGTGTTCACCCCAGCCCCAAGTCATTATCCTTCCTTTATCTGTAAACAGAGTTGCAGAAACCAAATGAAATTAGGGGCAATTGAATATTTACCACCCAATTCCAATGTATTTACATATCTATCCAACTATTTTTTATTTTTACCATTTCTAACACCCAAATCTTTCATATCACATAAACAATTACACCATTTTAACTTTTAGAAATTGGAATACAAAGGAATTGAGTGGTTTGTATGTAAATCTTCCATGAAATTGTTGTTACCTGTTACTACAGCAGAATGCTCAGCACCTGCTGCAATGCCGACGACACTTTCATCGACGAGGCATATTATCCTTTGTAAAGAAGATGCAGGCGCAGCCGAAGCATCTGGTAGGGGCAGCGAGAGTCGTCAAATGAGAACTTATATGATTGAAAATAGTTAAGGATGCAGATAAAAAACTGATACAGTAATACATTATTTAGTTTGAGAAACTTGAGAAACTTGAGCTGCTAGAAATACATTTAGGATTTGTTTGGGATCACTCTTATTATTTATTTTTTTATTTTATTTTGATTTCAAAAACATATTTATTTAGTACAGTGTGTGGGCTCTTTTAGCAATATTATAAGATATCAAATATATTTTATTTCACCTAAAAACATAAACAAAAATAAATAAAAATAAATAAAAAAACAAACTCAAAAGTGATCCCAAACAACCCCTTAACAAAATTATCATCCTCTTCGTTCTAATAAGGCTTGACTTCCCATACGTAAACAGCTTTAAGAGTGTTATTATCACAAATATATGGATTAGGTTCTACTTTAGAACTAATCCTACTTCTTACTTTGTTTTGTGGTCAACTTGATTTTTTGCAGCTTTATATTGCATTGCCAATGTTCCAATTGACTAAGGGTCTATTTGGGGCAGCTTATTTGGTGCGGTGGCGTTTTGAAAACGCACCTGACCTGATTGGATAAAGTGCATTTTGGCAGCTTATGCATTTTCAAAACACTGAAAATTGCGTTTTCACACTGCACCTATCAGGTGCGGTGACAGCTTTCTGGCAGCGGTCTGGTTTTTCCAAAAAAATAAAAATTTGTAATAGTCACCGCACCTAGTTTATCAACAGATTATTTTTAATCAGCTTATCAGCAGATTATTCAATAAGCTGCAGCTGCCCCCAAACAGACCCTAAACTTAATCATTTAGTGGATAAAGATTTGAATATTTGTTAGGCTTGGATAAGATTAATTTTGCATTTAAATATTTGGTATTATTCTCTTAACTCTATTCATAATATGTGATTGAATTATAAATAATTGATAATTGGATAAAAAGTTTTACTTTTAGCCAAGTAAGAGCTCATTAGATTCATGTTATTTGTAAAAAAAATTTTAAATTATGTACACTTGAGTTATTCTTTTTTCCCCTTCCATTTGGTGAGAAGTCTATCACAAATGTGCACATTAAATTCGCTAAAATGGCTAAGATATGCAGAGGTTAAACTTTTGAATTATTGTTGATTGAGAAGAATTAGAACTATAAAAATGGGGCCTCCAATTAAATTAACTTGAACAACAGTGACATACCAATAGCCGTTAGAGGTGTACCCTTTTTATCGTTAGTAAGATTTAGTAAATTCATTAAATCTATCCAACTAAATCCATCTTTATGCTAAATTGAAGGAAAAAAATGGGATCCTAAATCCAAAAAATTCATAAATCCGCAAAAAATTTGTATTTTAGTGTTTGCCTGAATTTAGTAAATCCGGTAATAAATCTTATTAAAAGGCGCTAGCAAACACCCCATTAAGGAATGGAACTAGAAAAAAAATACTAAACGGTCAAAATAGCCCCTTGATTGTTTAAATAGGATCATTTTAGAGTGCGAGAGACTATAAAAATGTCAAATTAGTTCCCAAACTTCTTAAATTGGGATTGAAATAATCTTTTGTGGGTACTATTTTAGTCCATATTAAAAGAGTCTAGGTCTAAATTTATACCTATATAGACTTTGATTAAAATGACCCCTGCGAAGAGTTAAAGAGATAAATTTGACACTTTTCTCTAAAATGCTATTGTTGAGTAGTTAAAATAAAACTTCAAAGCTTTTTGAAACTTACCATCACAAACTGACATATCAGGACAAAGCTTCTCACCACTTGTTTGCTGAACAGAAGTAAGCATCCTACCAAGCATATATACTTGACCATCTGTGGTAATTGATGAATAACTATTAGAATGACAAAAATTTTAAGATAAATTTGCATATTTTGCCCACAATTCTTATGTATTTACATATCTCAAACCTAAACTTCCATATTTACACACATAACACCTTGATACTTTAAGCCTATAGATGAAATGGTGTATTTCATTTTTAAAAAGCGGTAATAGTGCTATTTTTTGAAGTGATGTAAAAAATTCGAGTGTTAAGTGTGTAAATATGAAAGTTCAGTTGTGAGATATGTAAATACATAAGAATTAGGTGGTGGGTATGTAAACACCCCAAATTTTAAAACTAAATATCGAGAAAGAAAGCAGCACAGAACCAATAAAAACAACCCTACCAGAAACCAGTAGAGCATGATTCCATCCGAGAGCAATTTGAGAGAATCTCAACAGTGAAGGCAGAAGTTGAGGCTGGAGGCTATCTGAGCACCCACTGAACCCTCTGCCCCAACTGTACAACTGCCCGTTAGCTGATTCCATAGAAACTATCCTATTATCGCAAGCCTATGCAGTTCTGAACAAACTAACTCGAGAAACAATATTCAACAAATAATGGGTTGTTATAGTGTTGACATAATGATATGAGTGCCAAAATAGCCCTCTGATTATTTACATAGGTTCATTTTTGTCCACAAACTCCTTAAATTGGACTGAAATAGTCTAGGGAGGCTATTTCAGCTCATAGTAAAAAACATTGGGGATTAAATTGGTACTTTTATAGGCTTTGGGACTAAAATGACCCCTTACAAATTGTTAGAAGGCTATTTGGACACTATTCTCATATTGAAATATGGAAGAATAAAATTTGACATTGATATCTTTAAATAAAGCGAGTTACCGGATAATGCAGCACTATGATCTCCATTGGCGCACACATTAACAATTCTGGAATCCTCAAATCCAGGAATTAAGTGTGGAATGTTAATTAGTCTTCTATGTCCAGATGGCCGTGTACCTATTTGGCCATGTCTTGCCGAACCGTATCCATATACAGAATTACCAGATGACTCTGCATTAAATTTCCTAAAGAAATTATTCAAAGAAAGTTACACGTTCAATAGAATCAACATTCACGATTTAACAATGGCAAGAGAGAGAGAGAGAGAGAGAGAGAGAGAGAGAAGAGTGGCATACTAAATAAAAGATATGGATCAAATTATGATTTGTGAATGCATGAAAAAAATAAATCCCAGTATATAAATAATTAAAATAAGGAATATTTACATTTTAAATACATATCAATCAATTCTTATGTATTTACATATCTAACACCCAAACTTTAATTTTTACCTATTGGAGAGCACTTCAGATTCATCATAATTTTTTTCCTGGATTTGAGCTCAATAATTGACACGTTTTAAGAGGCTACGAACACCAATAAGCTTTAACATTTCGAGTGTAACACGCTGTTGACCTCATTTTTAGTGAGGTCTTAGTCTCCTACTCCCATGAACCCCAAATCTAGCCTTAGGAGTTCCTTGTTGACCATCCTAGCGGACTAGTAATGGAGCCCACCTCCGTAGAACTTCAAACCGCTTCTTTACTTATTTTTGCGAAGAACTCGCGTGAGTGGTTCCAAGCACTCAACTTCTAGTTGCAAGGGCTAAGGACCAGCATGTAGAGGGCCCGAAAATGAGTTCCTATAGGATCAAACGACCTTAGGTTAACCCTCGGTGACTCAGCAACGCACTCGTTGCATCACACACAATTTTGGCTTAAATTGACTCGCAAGCCAGCAAACTCGTCCGGACGACCCCGGATGACGAAACGGACTGCGCCGACGCGTTCGGAACGTCGATTTTAGCTAGAAAAGAC